ATCCTTTCCTCTAATCTCCTCATCTCCCTTTCTTTCATTACTACTACACTTTTCCTATTGTCTCCTTTTGTCTCCTTTCCTTTCTCTTTCTTTCTTCACCTCTCCATATTTCATTCTCATCTCGTCTCGTCTCGTCTCGTCTCGTCTCATCTCTTGCCTTACCTTACCTCACCTCACCTCCTTTCCTTTCCTTCCCTGTTCTGTTGTTTCCCCCCTTTCCTCTCTTGCCCTGCTTTTCCACACTATAAAGACCATTAAACTGTAATGTGTCCGGGCAGATAGCGTCTACTTTAGCAAACAGAGATGATTGCTTTTGGGGCAACTTATTCCTCCTCTAGTAATTAAGACAAAGTAGCTCCTAGACTCCAGGATGGATTTACCCATGTTACATCTCTCAACAATAAAACACAAAAAATGGCAAGAGACGAGTCGCATAAACCTGATTTACCTCCCATACAGTAAGAAATTTCACTTTGCCTCACCAGCTCATCAGAAATAATGTATATTTTTAATTCAAAATAGAAAAGAAAGATGTGGCATTTTTAAACATTTTTACTATCCCTGATTTGCCATGGCTGGAATACCTAAACACACACGTTTGTGGTGCTTTAGATTTAAGAAAGTTGTGTGTGTGTGTGTGTGTGTGTGTGTGTGTGTGTGCATCTCTGCTGGAAAGACAAAGGTGCAGTGAGAAAGAGAGAGAAAAAGTACATCATGTAAGATCACTTAAAATGAGAGCCGGGGTTTCAAAGTCTTTTGTCATGTTTTTTCTCTGGGTCCACAACTCTGAGCCACTATCAATCATCCATCCATCCATCTTCTAACCGCTTCATCCTCTTGAGGGTCGCGGAGGGTCTGGAGCCTATCCCAGCTGACATTCTATGACTATCGCAGGGCGATACACATAGAGACAGACAACCATTCACAGTCACATTCACACCTACGGACAAATTAGAGTTATCAATTAACCTAATCCCCAATCTACATGTCTTTGGACTGTGGGAGGAAGCCGGAGTGCCCAGAGAGAACCCATGCTGACACGGGGAGAACATGCAAACTCCGCACAGAAGGGCTCCCACACCCGGGATCGAACCAGGAATCCTCTTGCTGTGAGGCAATTGATTCAATCAATCAGTCAATCAAACTTTATTTGTATAGCACTTTTCATATATTAAAAATGCAGCACAAAGTGCTTCACAGAATAAAAACAAACAAAAATAATACATACATATTGAAAACCCGCCCCTCCC